AAAGAATAACTCCTCCTAAAAATGTATGCAAAGTATGTGAGATGAAGCTTCATCATAGTGGAGCTTCGTCACTATACTTCAGGTGTGTTGTCAGGAGGAACCTGCCTTTGCAATGAGATCTCATGCTTGAAACTTGAGGATCAGAGAAGGAGAGGAAGACTCTCAAAGTGATGGACAGATAAAGTGATGGCAACAATGAGATTGTTGGATGAGGATGGTGCAGGATCAGTGAAGGTTTGGACCTGTTGTTCACAAGGTCACCATGAGTTCCAGTTAACTAGATAACACCTAACAACAGCAAGAAGGAAGTTTTTGTAAAGTAATGTAGTGTGCTTTCATACTTGAGGGTTCCACCTCAGTTGCCCTATCTGCTATTCTAAGTGTGTTCTATTGTACACAGAGTTTTCAAAGGCCTGTTATTTTGGAAGTAGATGGCCATTCCTTCTTCCTACTCTGTCTTAATCTGAATGCTCAGATTTAGAACAGTATCTGATAGACAAGCATTTTATGGAAAAGAGCATATGAAAAATATTTCCCCAATTGTAGAAATAACTAATAGTTTCAGTGTTGTCCCCACCCTTAACACTGTGTCTTGACCCACCCATTTCCCTGCTCCAGCAGCATTCCCTTCTACTCCCACCTACTCCCTTCAACACCTATCTCCCGCTATCCAGCCCTTGATATGATAGCTCATATCTCAAGCTTTCTGGGCTTCTGTGATTCCAAAGCTTCAAACTGCTGCCCTTGATATGATAGCTCATATCTCAAGCTTTCTGGGCTTCTGTGATTCCAAACGCTTCAAGCTGCTGCCAGTTTCTTATGCTGTGGCATATGTCTCTTGAGTTTAGGAGTCTGTAAGTCCAAATACAAGGTACTAATGTTAGGCAAGTCTTCCTATCTCAGACGGTTCTGAGGAAACGTCCTTTCCCTTGAATTTCTGCTCCAGGTTTGACTTCTTATGGCTTAGGGCCTCTTCTCTTCCATTTGTAGCACACTGTAGTCACAATGAAATAGTTTCTCAAGGGAGGGTGATGTCTCCTGCAGATCTGGTATAGAGTGTAGTTTTCTTGGCCCAAAGGCCAATTGAGGTTTTTAAAAGTTACAGCTTGGTCAACTCCACAATCAAAACTCTTGGCACTAGCAGTCAGGAAATCAAAAGACAAGTTGCATTAGGTAAATCTGCTGCCAGGGAACTTTCCAGAGTACTGAGAAGCAATGATGTCATTCTAGTGACTGAAGTGCACCTGATCCAGTACAAGGCTTTGCAATTACTAGCTATGCATCAGAGATCTGGATGATGGCTAAGGAGGATAGAAGAAGAATTGATGCCTTTGAGTTGTGGTGCTGGAGAAGAGTCTTGAACATACCATAAATCAGCAAGAAAATAAATAGGTCTGTCTTGGAGAGGTTTAAACTAAGTTTCTCCTTAGAGGCTAGGACTGTGAAGCTCCATCTCACACACTTTGGACATGTGGCTATCATTCTTGGAAGGGTGGAGTGAGGACAGTACAGGAGAGGAAGACCTCAGATGAGATGGATTGATACAATAATTAGGACATTGGGTATAGGAGTGTCAGAGTCAGCGAGATTGGCTCAGGACAGGACAGCCTTCAGATCTAATGTTCAATGGGTTTTCTGAGTCTCACGCAACTTGATGACATATAACAACAATAACAACATAATGTCGTGTGTTATATGTTGAGGTGCTAACCAAAAGGTCTGCAGTTTGTGAGAATGGTTAGTCTATTTCTGTTAAGATGGCTTTAGAAACTGATGGAGAGTCACCATGAGTTTTAATTGACTCAAAGGCTGTATTAATTTTTGTGTATGTTTGTCCTTCTTGGATTGTTTTCTTTTTGTTTGTTTTAAGCTTTAATAATCTCATTACACCAGCCTCTCCCATTCTCTTCTGCACAAAGCTATCCTCTTTCCCTACCTACTACAGACAATGAGACTGAGCGCCGTGCTCTCCCTCATCTGGACAGTCAGGTTGTTATGTAACATCGAGTAAGAATCAACTCATATCTGATTCTTCAGTACATTTTCAGAGGCAGGAAATGTCACAGGAGGAGGTTACTCATTTTTATCCCACAAAGCAGCTGGTGAATTCAAACCCTGTTCCTTTGGGTTGGCAGTGCAACTCATGTTGTTGTTCTTTGCTGTCGAGATTGAATCGACCCATAGCAGACTCTCAAGTGGGTTTTCAGAGGCAGTAAATCACATGGGAGGAAATTTTATGTCCTTCTCCTGCAGAACCGCTGGTGGATTCATACCACATGCCTTTGATTTTCACCTGCCAGAACTCCATAGTGAAATCCATAGAAGTATGATTTTCCTTTGGCATTTAACAATCCCTCCGTTTCCTATAGTAGGCGTAGCTTCAATTCCTGACCAATGCACCTCAAGCACAACCACGGCTAATGCGTCACTGGAATGTTTTTGTGTTGCTATGATTCTCTAAAGACTTTGGTGGAGCCTCCATGCGGAGATAAATGAAAAAGAAAGTTCTGGTGTTTGAAATTTGAGAATCAGCTATGGAAAATCATAAGCATCACAATGGTCTCATTTTGTAGTTTCTGGAGGTTATGGTGAGTCAAGTGCAACTTGACAACAATTAAAAACTACCAAGAAAAAGCCTCGCCATAGTTCACCTAATAGAAAGCTCTTTATATCTATCTTTGAAATCTGAAGTTGTCAACAATTTCATTTTCTTTGGATCCATAATCTATGCTCATGGTAGTAGTCAAGAAATCAAATATTATATTGGGGAAAACTACTTTCATAGACCTCTTCAAAATGCTAAAGAGAAACTTAATTCGTTAAAAGACTAAAATCTGCCTGTTCTAAGTCAGTTGCTTCATATGAGTCTGATAGTTGGACAGTGAATAAGGATGACAGAGAAGGATTAATGTCTTTGAATTGTGGTATTGGAAAAATAGGCTGACTACACCATGGGCTGCCAAAAGAACAAACAAGCCTGTCTTGAAGGAAATGTATTCAGGTCCTCCTTAGAGGCAACGACGGAGAAACTTAATCTCATGCATTTGGCATATTGTTAGGAGGGGTGAATCTTTGAGAAAAAATAAATCATGCTGAAAAAAGGTAGAGGCTCAGAGAAATGAGTTTGAGCATGTCAGAGATTATGAGGATGGCTCAGGATAGGACAAGGTTCAGATATGTTGACAAGGATCAGATCTGTTGTTCATAGGGTTGCCATGAGTCAAAAAACTGTGGCTGACTCTGAGAATGAGAATCCCAAAGTACTTGATTGTGCTTATGCAAAACCTGTACTCAGACCAGGAAGAAGTCATCAGGACAGAGCACGGAAACACTTCAAGGTTCAAAATCGAGAAGGATGCACGCCAGGGATGTGTCCTATCTAAATACCTTTTCAATCTATATGCAGAATAGATCATCTGGGAGGCTGGGCTCTATGGAAGAGTGTAGTGTCAGAATTGCAAAAGACTTATCAACTACTTACATTAGGCATATGACACAACCGTTGCTTGCTAAAACTGAGGAGGACCTGAAGCACTTGCTGCAGGGGGTCAAGGACTGCAGCCTTCAGTATAGACAGAAACTCAACATCAAGAAAAAAAAAGATTCTCACCACTGGTCCAATTAGCAGCATCATGATATATAGTGAAGAGACTGAAATTGTTAACAGCATTAGTTTGTTTGGGTCCACAATCATACTCTTGGTACCAGCAGCCAGGAATTCAAAAGACAAATTTAATTGGGAAAGTCTGCAGTCAGGGACATCTCCAGAGTACTGAAGGGCAGCAGTGTCAGTCTGGAGATTAAGATGCACCTGATCCAGGACATAGTCTTCACAATTACTTGCTATGCATCAGAAAGTTGGGCAATGACTAGGAATGATAGAAAGATAATTGATGCCTTTGAGCTGTGTTACTGGAGAAGAGTATTGAATATACCATGTATTGCCAGGAGAACAAACAGGTTTGTTCTACAGAGGGTGAAACCAGGCTGCTCCTTGGAGGTAAGGATTCTGAGGCTTCATCTAACATACTCTGGGCCTGTCCTTGGAGAGAGAGACATGCTTGGAAAGGAGTAGGGACCGTGCGAGAGAGGAAGGCGAAGACCCTCAATGAGATAGATTGATTCAGTGACTGTGGTAATAAAGGTAGGTGTGTCAGAGACAAAAAGGTTGGCACAGTATAGAGCAGAGTTCAAGGCTGTTGTACACAGGGTCGCTATTTGTCTCGAGCAACTAAACAGAACATAACAACAGCAATATGAGTCATAGTCAACTCAGTGACACTTTGTTGTCAATGACAACAAAGTTTAAGAGGCTGAAAGTCTCAAATCTAGATGGAAGATGCATTCCCTGTGTCAGTCTAGAGGAAAATCCTTTTTTAAATATCTGCAGGCCCTGAGATATCGGAGATATCCATGTGTTTTGGCCTTCATCTATCTGTCACAGAGCTCTGTAGCATAGGGCCTTTGAGTCCCACTTGAGTCAGTGGCACTTAACAACAACAAGCTATTTATTATGAGAAATAATTTGAGGAGTTTTTTTTCTTTGTACTCCCTTTGATGATTTGAACATTGCAGATACTCAATAAAAGATAAAACAGAAGAAACATGAATGCAGTCTCTTCTATTTGAAGTACAAGAGAATGTATTGAGATAATCCAGGGTTATCCATATTGCACCGCTGTGAAATATGGGAGCCTGTACCTAGTCCTTTGCCTATGTTTGTGTCACTTGATTTTCTCTAAGATATATTTGGGTTTTATTGATTTTGTAAAATTCCTAGAGACAATGAATGAGCAGATAATATAACATGTAAATAGAAATAAAAAAGAAGCTTGAATGTTTAGATATATCCTAGAAAGAACATAGTCATTCATCTAGCACTCTTACTATATATACCAATAATGATTTTTTTTTCCATAATATTCTTCCAGTATTTCCAGTTAGGTACCACTGTGTCAGTGAGATTACTAACCAGAAATATTTAACATACACTTTCACAGATGGAAGACCTTTAACGGTGAAGGACATATGGGAAAGAGTCCACGAATGCTACAAGACACGACTTTTGCAGGGACCATGGGACACTATTACTCAGCAGGTTGGAGATGTTTTTCATTTTACTGTATTCAGTTGTTTCCCTCTGGTTATCTTGTCATCTGGTTTCTCCTCCATATTTTCCCTGCTTCACTCCTCCACATTATACAGGTCTCGGTGAAATGATAATTTTTTCAAGAGCACCTTCTCAGGGGTGTTAACAAAGCCAAATGTCAGTCATTGCCATTGAGCTGATTCTAGCTCATGGCAATTCTCTACTGAGTTTCTGAGGCTATAAATCCTAATGGGGAGCAAACTGCCTCGTCTTTCTTCTGTAGACTGACTGGCTGGTGTATTTCACCTACCAGCAATTCAGTTAGCAGGCCAGGACATAACCTACACCACCACTAGGCTTCTTAAGCAGTATTTAGCCTCCTTGTTATAAGGTCTCAAAACTGAAACTGGCTGTTGGTGACGCCATGTGTCACAGAGTAGGACTTTTTAATAGAATTTTTAATAGAATTTTCTTGGCCATAATCTTAATAGAAATGATCACCAAAGATCCCATGTTGGTAGGTGCAGTTGAGTATATTCTGACTCATAGCTACCATAGCATAACAGAATGAAAAACTGCCTGGCCCTGTGCAGTCCTCACAACTGTGTTGTACTTGAGCACATTCTTGCAGCCACTTATAAATCCATTTTTTGAGGGTCTTCTTTTGCACTGACCCTTCTACTTTACTTAGCATGGTATCCTTTTTAAGAAGTGGGCCCCTCCTGATAATATACTCAAAGAATGTGAGCTGAAGTTTGACCATCCTTGCTTCCAAGGAACATTCTGGCTATAATTTTGAGGCAGATTTGTTTGTTCATGGTGTATTCAGTATTCTTTGGCAATACCACAAATCGAAGATACTACCAGTTCCTTAGTTTTCCATGAGGGTGAGGCAATTGAAAATGCCAAGGCTTGAGTCAAGAACTGACATTCTTACTTTTTAGAATCACTTTAAAGTGATCCTTTTCAGCAAGTTTGCACAATACAATATGTGATTTTATTTCTTGGCTGCTTCTTCTGTAGATATTGGTTGTGAATCCAAGAAATGAAATCCTTGACAGTGTCAATCTTTTCCCCATTTATATAGCTTACTTGTCCAGTTGTGGAGATGCTTTTTTTTTCTTTCTGATGAAGGATAATCCATTCTGAAGCCTCTTGTCTTCATTGCTAAGTATATTAAGTCATTTTCATGTTTAGCAGGCTAGATTATTTTGTCTGTATATCTTATTGGTTGATGAGTTTTCCTCAATTCTGATGTCACACTCTTTATATAGTGCACACCTTCTCAGATTATTTTCGTGGCATATAGACAGAATTTTCCTTCATAGCACTTATGGTTTTAAATTATATATATTTGTGTGTTTGTGTTAAATAAATGCCTGTCTTTTCTAGTAGATCATGAGAGCTCATAAAGGCATACCACATCTGTTTTATTCTTTATTAAATACTCTTCATCAGCATAGTGCTGAGCATATATACTAGGTGCTCAAGAAAATTCCATTAAGGAAAGAGAAATAGAAACTAAGTTGGCGTATCTTCTAAGAAATAGATTCTTTCACTGTGTCAGCTGTCATACTTCCTAGTTTAACTAGTAGGTGCATTTGCAAAAAAATTAACTTTTGATTAGTAATAGATTTGCTATAGTGATTTGCAAAAGTGGAAAAAATAAATCTGTCAATCATATAAGTCATTATTAGTGCTTTGCTAAATTCAGCAGTTAATTATTTTAGAAATTTAAAAATACTCATCACCTTGGAACCAATCATGGTCTGTTTAAAAATAATTTTAACTTATATTAAAAAATCTTATTTTCCCCCCTAGCTTCAGATGAGCTTAATCAAGGTTCCTTTTAAAATGACTTTATCAGCCATTAGAGATTTTATGCTAGCTTATGTGCTTGATCACAATAATGAGAAGATTTTTTTTTAAATCTCCCGATCAACACAAAAATGCTTACTTTCTTATAAGGACTGGTTTGGCAGTGACAGTGAGTGACCGTTTCTACATTTAAGCTGAAGGGAAAACAACATCTAAATGTATGAATATTTCATTGTTATTGTTGTTGTTAGGTGTCATCAAGTCGAGTACGACTCATAGCGACTCTATGAACAAAGGATCTGAAACCAGTCCTGTCCTGCGCCATCCTCACACTTGTTAATACACAAGAGCCCATTGCTGCAGTCACCTTGTCAGACCACCTGGTTGAGGGTCTTCCTCTCCTTCACCGACTCGCCACCTTCCCAACATCATGTCCTTCTCCAAGGAATAGCACCTCCTAACAATATGTCCAAAGTATGTGAGGTGAAGCCTCATCATTCTTTCCTCCAAAGAGCACTCTGGCTGCACCCTCTCCAAAATCCATCTGTTCATTTTCTTGGTCATTCATGAAATGTTCAGTGCTCTTCTCCATCACCACAGCTCAAAGACTTCAATTCTCTTTAGTTGCTGCTAAATTGACTCCAAATCATGCTAGCCTCTTATTCGTCAGAGTATAACTGTGCTTCATAAGGTTTACAATGGCTGAATTTTTAGAAGTAGATTGGCAGGACTATCTACCAAGGCATCTCTTGGTGAATTTGAACCTCCAACCTTTCCATTAGCAGTCAGGGACATCAGCCACTTATACTACCTAGGATTCCCTATAACTTGCACACCAATTTTCAAATCAATCCTTTCCCTTTTCTTGATTACCTTCTAAATACAGCCCTTCTGACTTTACCTGAACAGAGTAAAACTTTGTCTGTTCTTCAGTTCCTTCTTTCCCTAACTTTTACCACTGGTCATAGCTTCTTAACGTATATTACCCGGACTCTAATATGCAATTATTTTTCAAAGGACTGTGAAATGTTACCTACATACCTTCCCTGGATCTCAGTGGCTGCATATGGCAGACCTTAACCTACCCATTTAAACTTATCTCCTACTGCTCAGTTCCACATAGTCTCAGGCTCAGACAAAACAAACTACTCATTTCCCTGAATCTGTTTTATGCGGTTTGATCTTAGAATGATTCCCATTTTAATGCGTGCGCGCTCTCTCTCTCACTCATTCTCTCTCTCTATATGTGTGTGTGTGTGTGTGTGTGTGTGTGTGTATCCATGTATGTATATATGTATATATGTGTATATGTGTATGCATGTGTATATATATACAAACATATATATAAATTATATCTATAGACACACACATATATTTATATATATACATATACACACATTTAACTTTAGCTCCTTTTCAGTATGTTCCTGAGCCCAATTCTTATCCTATTGCTTTTTCTGTCACTAGCATCCTAATTATTAATCCCCTCACTGCAAACCTGTAGCCCCACTCCTGGTGCTCTGTGTCATTTTACATTTTAAATCCACATATCTCTGTTCTGACTATTGAAATTTATTTATTTTCTTTATTTCCTAATATGGTTTCCCATTTCCTAACAGATACCAGTAGTCTAATCTCCAGTGGTAGAAACCCTAAAGTTGCTAAGCCAATCAGATAAACTAATCTGTACTTTGATTGTTTTTCTAATGGAATTGACCAATAACTTCAATTTACAGGCTTTTAAGTGTTAGGCAGATCAAATTCTATACAGTATATCTTGCAATTTCTAGCATCAAGGCTGAGACCCACTTAATAGGAGCGATTTTTTATACTGCTAAACTACGGCACAACTCTAGCGTCTGGATGGGCCTTTAGAATGTGCCTTATTGAAGTCTGATCTATGTGCAGGTGTTCCACATTTTATCGTAAGTTTCATTTAATGTCTCACCACAGTGCATGCCTAGGCACCAAAGAACTAACAGTAAAACTCATTTGTAGTCACTGCAATACTTAGCATTTTAAGCCATCATGAATATTTATTCTGGAGGTCATGGTTTTTAATCCCGGAGTAGGATAATAGCCTGATATTTATATGCTTTTTTCTTGTTTGGAATCTTGAAGAAATAAGTCTTCATTTTTTTAAGTTTCATTGGAGAAAACCAACGGGTCCGCAGTGGGGCAGAAGAGGGGGTATGGCTTTTCAGGATGATGCAGCACCAGGCGAAGATAAGCTGTTAGGCTGGTGGTGGTACAGTAGACACTGTTTTACAGAATTATGTTAAAGAACTATTAGCTTTCAGACAGAATATGATAATAAGATCCTGTCCTCCAAGTACCTTAAAAATAAAAGCAACCTTTGTATAATATAAAATACATTTCACTTCATTTTCATTCCTGATTATGCTTATATAGTGTATTGCTCTTCATTTAGTAATCATACTTTTGTTCCATCAGAATTTGTCTTGATGATAAAGACCTGTTCATGTCAAACACGAACCATCTCCTGTGAAGACAATCCAGCCATGAATCTCATGCATTTGATTATGGCAATTACTTACTTGCCTTTGAACAGCGTAACACACTACCTATTATTGCAGTCTACAACCTAATAAAAGAACTTTCTGAAGAAAATTAACAGATGCTCAGGTTGAATCTGCTTAAGTTGCCATGATGTTGTTGTTGTTGTTGTAACTGTGTGTCATCAAATCAGAACCAACTCATGACCCTCTAGCTGGTTTTCAGAGGCAGTAAAAGGCACAGCAAGAAATTTCCCAGCCTTCTGCAGAGCAGCTAGCTAATGGATTTGAACTATGTGTCTTTGGGGTTACTTATGATAACCAGAAAGTGTGGTCTCTGTGTTTCAGACAAAGAACTCTGAGGTCTTGCGCTAAAGAAACAAAATAAATGCATACTTTCATTTTTCCATGAAGATTTATGTGTGTTTGGAGGGTGAACGGTATGTGTGGATTGAGGTTATGTGTGTGTATTGTTGTTATGTTTTGTTGAGTCAGAATCCACCCATAGCTGAGCCTCCAGAGAATTTTCAAAGGTTGTAAATGACATAGGAGGACACTGCTTATCATTCCTCTGTGGAGCAGCTAGAAGATATGAACCGTATACATCTCAGTTGGCAGCATGACTTCCTACCACTAGGCCATCAAAGCTATAGCTGTAGACAACCAAAAAAAGTA